CGAAAACACATTTTGTTAGTTTAAGGCTTGTTATTACTTATATACATTATTTCCATCTTGTACTTAGTCGATGTGAAATTCGCTAGAGTGTCATATAAATGGTGATATATGATCAAGATTTGCACCAATAGACTTGGAAGCTTTCTTATTGGAGACAATTAGTGAGAATAAAATCTTACCAAACCCAAATTAATATACTAACTAGTGGTTAAATAGTTTGTGATTGATTTTGCCTGCCAAATTCCCTAATTAGCATCTTTTAGGGTTGGCTTGCTTTGTCTCTAATCAAGTAGAATTAGAGACATAACCCCACTTAAAATTGTTGTCTTTTAATCCCACATTCTTGCTTGGCTAGCTAGCTCCAACATTAAAAGCACTTTTTAGACTTCCTTCACCTCCAGCAATCATTAATTTCATTAATCTAATATAAAATTATGGATAAAAACTTCACTAATTTGTCTTAATTGTTCAACTAGGTGTTGGAATAGGAAAAGTGTTATCATTAGATTGTTGATATTTTGCTTTGTTGAGAATTAACTTTGCTTGCTGCCTGAAAATTGGGAGACAAATAGATGTCTAATTGGTATAATCTATTGTTGACTTCCCCTCAATCTTTCGGTTAATCTAGCCTCCTCCGTCTCTCGAACCAACAATGGGTTTTAAAATATTTTGTGCCATTCTCATCGGTTAATGGTTTTGGCACATCTAATGTCACACCAATGTTTTCCTTGCCTAACACATTCCTAAAATACAAATTTGGTAGATGGGAAATGTGCCTAAATTTTCCTTCCTTAGATGGAGATGTTTTAAGTTTTGGTGAGTCATAAGTACTACCACGTTTGATCACCATATTTGTTTTTTGGTAGATAAATTTATCTTGTATAATTTTGAAGAACAAGAAGAAAATGGGAAAGGAAAGAGAGATCTTGATTAATTAAATTCAATAAAGCTTAATTTAATCAAATGCTAATTATCAATTTGTTGAGGTGATAAAATCCTATTAAAATGTCCTCTCAGGTTTAAAATTATTATAATTAGAAATGATTAATTAGAGTTGGAAATCATTGTAATATCAACGATGAAGATTAAATTATGTGTTAAATCATGATATTAATTAATAATTACCATCATTTACAAAGCAACAAAGCCAAGAGCTTATTGGCTTCATGTAGGAATTGTAGGGTACCTTTCTTTCTTTCTTTCTTTCTTTCTTTCTTTCTTTCTTTCTTTCTTTCTTTTTTCCCTTAAACTTTTGCTTTTAGGGTTTGCATTAGAGATGATAATGATGATGATGGTGGCACTTGTCCTCCACTAGGGCGTGGCACTTGCGACCAATGTGACACTATCCTTCCACTTTCTGCCTACATGTTTCGACATAACACACGTAACTTTTTCTTCATCTCATCATTCTTCTTTTTTTTTACTTTACACCCTATCTTTAATTCTACCAAATTACATAAAATATACAATTTTGTTCGTAAAGTATAATACTTGATTGATACAAGTAATGATCTTCTATTTTCGTGGTATTAAATTCATTTTTACGTAGTTTATTCTGATTTTATTTTAGAAGAATGCTTTATCAGCAAGAGAATGGATTTTCAAACGAGTCAAATTTAAATTTAATGATGTTATTGAAAGTTCGAATTTTGTCGACTTTTATATATATTTATATAATATTATTTTATGTTTATTTCAATCTCAAGCAGAACTCGAATTTAAAGTTTTTCGAGTTGAACTTGAGTCCTCGAGTCGAACTCGAGCTTTCTTGAGTCGAGCTCGAACCTAAAAATTTTAAATTCATTGAGTTTTGAGCCGATCTTCGAGTCTGGCAGATTCGAGCTCAATTCGGCTCATTTACGCCCATGGGCTGAACAGAGGAAGGCTTTTCATGTAGGATGAGAACTTTTCCCTACCGTTCAGCTGTCCGTTTTAGCTTTGTTTACTCTGTAGAGAGGGCCGAAGTCTGCTTTATCGGGCTAGCGATTTTGAGTTTTGGACATTTAGGCTTGAGCCCAAAATAACTTTTCCGTCTTAATTAACTTTTTAAGTGCTTAAATTAATTTATGTAACACATAATTAGTTTCATTGAGGAGGCAGTCTTAATAAAATGTATATATTAATCCGAATTTAAAATTAGGATTAATCTTGTTTGGACCTATTTTAATCCGATTGGAAAATATGTAGTTCTGTTGTTTTTTGTTTTTTTTTAGTTTTGTTTCAATTTGCTTTTCTATTTTCTTTTTTCTTCTCGCTCCTAATTTTTTATTCGTTTTTAATAAATTCAAATCTATTTTCTTTTAATAGATTCATTTTTTCTTTGTTTTTTTATTATTATTGCTTTGTCTTCATATTTGGAGTTCTTTTTTCTCTCTTCTGTGAGGGTTTAGTTCCTTCTTCATAAAGGTTTGTTCTTAAAAGATATGATATTTGATTTATTTGATTAAAGAATTTAGATCTTGTTTTACTGATGTGTATTTTTTATCAATGGAGCCTGATAGTGTGACATGTTCCTATTAACGCATAGTAGCTTTGAACTCATCCGTATAAGTCATACACAATAAGTTTTTTGGAAAAGAAATCCAACCATAGAAGATCCGAAGAAATTATTTTATTGTCCAAATCAATTAAAGGACCAATTGTTACTATAAAAATTTATATCTATCAAGGTTATCTTCAAGTGGAAAAATCAAAGATTGTTTCTTTTAGTTTTAATTTTATTATTCAAAAGAATATAAATAATTATTTTGTTGTTGAAGGATCAGCAAATTTTCTATTAATTATGATAGTAAGTTCTATATCTGGTTTAATTGAATATTTGTAATACTTTATTTAGTATTAATGAATTATATTTCTAAAAAAAAAAAAAATCATCCCTTCAAAGAATGCGTCTAATAACAAATCTATTTTCATATTTTAGCTTGGTATTTAAAAAATTCTGCCTCGGATGTGAAAAAAATTATAAGTATTAAGAGCAAGTCAATTTATTAATTGAGCCAATTTTTTTGAAATTGCCCAAAACAATTTTTTAAAACATTATTAATTGAATGTAGCTATTTTTTTATGGAAAGACTTTATTTACACAAGTATATACACCCAATAAACTTAATGTTATTCAGTTGGTGGAATGTAAACCACAAATTTGCAAAACCCATGAAATATTTAAATTTCATGTACCCAAATAAACTTTTAAGAAGGATAGTTAGCATATATAAGTGTATGAGTATCTTGTTATTTGAAAAAAAAAAAAAAAGTAATATGGTGTGATCTGATTGGTCTTCTTACTTATATGAAGAGTGAGAGATCTCGAGTAGAAATCCTGTTGACTATAAGTGTTATTGTGTAGTTAGAAGAAAAAAAAGTAATAATGAGTAAATTTTTTAAATAATAGTTATTTATATTCCCTTTTTTAAAAATAAACAATTAGTTATTTGCTAACATGTAAGAAGAATAGATATGCTAGATTAAGCATCTTTGGATAAAATCAATTGTTTTAATAGGAGGAAAGTCAAGACAACAAATACTACCTAAGAAGCACTTGCGGAACATGAGCTAATGTTTCGTTTGTTTCCGTAAAATAACTTGTAGGAAAATAACTTGCAGAAAAATATTTTTTAAGAAAATATTTTCCATATGACTTATTTTCTGTTGTTTAGTTGTAATATTGAAAATTAGTTAAAGATATTAAGGTTTTATTTCATAAGACAATAAATTAATAATAATCGAAATCTTTTAATTTAAAAATTTTATTGTTAAATGTGAGAAGAATGCAAAAAAAAATGCAAAAAAATTTTTATTGTTAAATGTGAGAAGAATGCAAAAAAAAGATGCCAAAAAAAAAAAAAAAAAAAAAAAAAAAAAAATATATAATATAAATATATATATATATATATATATATATATATATTATATATATTATAATTATTATATAAATTGTGAAAAAATCATCGGTGGCCGGTGATAATGGCTGCCAATGGCTGGTGGTGGGGTTCGGTGATGATGGTCGGTGGTAAATGGTGACTGGTGGTAGTGACCACGATGATTAATAAATTAAAAAAAAATATAGATTTATAAAATTTGTTAATGTTCGGAAAATATTTCACTCTCTTGAAAATAACTAGTGATTTTCCTTTAAAAAGGATTTAATTTTCCTTTGACTTATTTTCCTGAGTGCCCTAAACAATAAGAAGTTGTGAAAAATATTTTTCTGCAAGTTATTGTACTGAAACAAACAGAGTCTAAGAGAGCGTTTAGTTTAGTTGATTCATGCGGCTGATAGCTATTTCATATTCAACAGCTAAGTTGTATGTGTTTGGTAAGTAGTAACTCATAGCTGATAGAAGTCTAAATCAGCTACTGTTTCTATAAGCTGCCTTTAGGAGCTTTTTCGTATGAGCTGGTAGCCGATTCGTATTTGTATTATTTTGTACTTCTTTAACTTCATAAAAAAATAATTGTTAAAGATAATTTTGTTTATAATTATTTAAAAAATTTTTTAAATATTATTTTAAAAATTTAATATTTTATTTATTGAATTTATTTATAGAATACATTAAAATAAAAAATCATATATTCATCTTAAATTAAAAACACATATATACATTACATATCATAATATATAAAAATAATTATGCCTATAATAGTTATTTTATATTTTAATAGCAACCGCTACTAAAATTTTACCAAACATAAACAATAATCAGCTAACCGCTATCAACCATCAGCTATCAGCAACTCTTCACTTAACACAATTATTAATAAAATGTTTTTTTCCCACTGTTTTTTTATTTTTTATTTAAAACACGTAACTGTATCCTTAAATTCTACCAAACCTTGTCACTATAAATTCCATACAAAGAGAACCCCACAACAAGGTGAAGAGACCATCAACCATCCATAACCAAACACCACCCTCTAATAGATAAGGCAAAGATAAGGCCCCATCTATTTCCCTTCACATCCTTCACTTCACTAACCAACAATTTATAAAACAAAATTAACATTTATATGAATCAAACCATTAATCTTCATTTATATTTTAATACTGTGTGTATATGTGTGTGTGTATATATATATATATATATATAGGACCACCTCTGTTACAACCAAGTTTCCCTGCTCCACCACCTGCATAGATCCAGCACAACTATGGCCTCCACCACAGCCGCTGCCGCCGCATCACATTTCTTCGGGACCCGAATCCTAAACCCAAAACCAGGCGTAGGAAAAATCCAAGCTCGATTTGGATTTCCTGGATTTGGAACCAAAAAATCACCTCCTCCGCCACCAAAGAAAGCTCCGGTGATCAAGAACGATGAAGATCGACTAGTATGGTTTCCTGGTGCAACCCCACCGGAATGGCTCGATGGAACTATGGTCGGAGACCGTGGGTTTGACCCATTTGGGCTCGGTAAACCTGTAGAGTACTTGCAGTTTGAACTTGACTCCTTGGACCAGAATTTAGCAAAGAATGAGGCTGGTGATGTTATTGGTGTCCGAATTGACCCTGGAGAGGTTAAATCGACGCCGTTTCAACCTTACTCAGAGGTTTTTGGGTTGCAGAGATTTAGAGAATGTGAAGTTATTCATGGAAGATGGGCAATGTTGGGTACCCTTGGAGCCATTGCTGTTGAAGCTCTTACTGGCGTTGCATGGCAAGATGCAGGAAAGGTACGTTTTCGTACGTGAGTTAATTTTATACGTATTCTCTTGCTTCTAAAGTTATATTCGACTATTATAATTATTATGAATTAACTAATTACTTATAATAATTTTTAAAATAAATTTTTTTGGTTGATAATCTTTAATGTAATTACATTGATTTTAAGATTGTTAAACTTACGTACCAATGCTACATATATATTTTTTTTCTAACGAATATTTTTAGAATTTTTCTAGCTAGATTACGTTTGATGATTCATAAAATGAATTGTAATATAATGTAATTATTAAAAGTATTTTAAATGTAAAAATTATACTAAAAATGTTTTTAACCAATGTACTATTTTCCATTAATGGCTATTATATGATATTTGATGAAGATAATATGTGTATAGAAAAGATTGAGAGCAACCAATAATTCTGTATTAATTTGTCTTATAAAATGTCAAAATTTTAGGTACATGAAGAAATTGAAATTAGAGTAATGAACAATATACTCGTACAGATGGGTTGATATTTTTTTTTCTTGGTCATGACCATTTAACTCCCACAAAATTTTCTTCTTCGTGTTCAATTGCTATCCAAGCATAGAGCTGTGATGGTAATTTTGTTGACAACAACACCGATGTTGATAGCAATATAATGCTAAAAACTATAATGACAATGACAATTATTGTGACAAATTTGTAAAATCTAATTAATTTCTTATATTTTGATCAACTAATAAATTACTAATTAACTTATGAAAAATGACTCGAACTGTAAGATATATTTGAATTCAATAAAACACTTCGATAAAGTTAATTGGAGTTTAATTTATGAAAAAAAACTTTTATAAATGAATAATCACGAGCACCGAAAGATATCTTTCTTGTATTCAAAATGGGATCTGGGCGATCAGGTTTTTTTCGGTACTATATATTATTTTTATTGTGTGATAATTTGGTATTTTCAGGTAGAGTTAGTTGAGGGGTCATCATACCTAGGGCAACCACTTCCTTTCAACTTGACAACATTGATATGGATAGAGGTGTTAGTGATTGGATACATTGAGTTCCAGAGAAATGCAGAGCTTGACCCAGAGAAAAGGTTATATCCAGGTGGCTATTTTGATCCTCTTGGCTTAGCTTCTGATCCTGAAAAGAAAGAAAACCTTCAGTTAGCTGAGATTAAGCATTCCAGGCTAGCTATGGTGGCCTTCCTTATTTTTGGTCTTCAAGCTGCTTTTACTGGGAAAGGACCCATTGCCTTTCTTGCTACCTTCAATCAGTGATTAATTTCTTAATCACCCTCTTAATTTCTGAATTGTGGTAATTATGTCTAATTAATGTGTATCTATTGCCCATGTTGGTGCTGGATTCATTTATTTGTGTTTTAATGTTTTTTCTACATGGACATAGAAATTGATTACTTGCTAATTTTCTTGAAATAATGATCGTAAATTTTATACATTGTTTTGAGAATTTAATACTCCCTTGTTTCAAAATATAAATCATTTTAAATTTTTTGTACGAGGATCAAAGAAGCAATTGCGTTCCTTAAATTATAAAATTAAGAGTAATTTTACCAAATTACTATTTATCTCATACCATTACTCCTATTTTGTATCATTATATTTTATTTGATATAAATAAAAGAAATTTTTTTAGAAGGGACAAAAAAATATATAATTGAAAAAAAGAATATTTATTATTTTTTGAAATATTGAAGATCCTAAAACGATTTATATTTTGGGACGAAGACTAAATAAAAGGATTTTTTATTTTTTAAAAAGAAAAAAAAAGGAACAAAATAGCTATCTTCTTCAAATATTTCTTGCAAAATTAATGAAAATTCCTACAATTACAAGCATATTCTTTGGAAAGAATACTAGAAAGGGGATAATCTAACGTGTGAAAGCCCATTGTGGTGGAACTAGCAAGATTTGGACCCAGGCTGGGTTAGCAACTTCAATTAGTGACCTAAGACCAGAAGTGGGCTTAGGCTTGGGCTTGAACTGTACGTAAGATTTTTATCTTGAAAAAGAAAAAAAATAAAAAAGGAAAGAATGTTATGCAATGGACTAATAGAGTCATGTGATTAATTCAATAAAAAGAAAGAAGGAATTTTATGAAATTAGTAGAAAAAAACATTTTAAATTTATAAGAAAAGAGTAACCACCTATACATATGTGCACCCAATAAAATTACCAAGGGAAATATAAAATCTTAAACTTATAGAAGTTCCTACCTTCTCATGTATATAAATTTTTTTTTTTTTTAATCTAAAGTAATGTTGAGTTGAGAGTAAATAGATTAGAGAAGCATCATTTTTTAACGAGTGTTTGGCGTATATTATTAATTTTACTGTTCGAGAAATAAATTATTAAATTTCTCTTATATAAGATAAATAATTTTTTTGAAAATGGTCAGGAAAGTTGCACTTCTCTGATTAGGTGCAATTAATTTATAATTTTATTATATTGTCTAAAACACATTTAGATTTACTTTTGAAATGTTATTATCTTTTTGTAATTTTCTTTCTAAATATTAATTTTATAATTTATATTATAGATATTATTTTGAAAGTGTATCTTTCCGAATCATATACTTCCTAAGAAATAGAGGATTTTCAATCAGATAAGACGATAAGAGCTTAAAGGGATTGAAAAGTTGCAACCTCACCAAATGAAAATCACTCACAAAATCAAAATCTTGAAAATGGATTTGTTCAAGCATTGAATTACTTCCAACAACTTTCAAAAAGCAAAAAAAAAAAAACCTTAAATCACTTGAAACGTCAGTTTCTTCGTTTTTTTGGGTTGGATTCAACAAATGATTAGTTATTAATTTATTACATATAAGATAAAAAAAATTCAGAAAAAGAAAAAACCCGTAGGAAACACGTCTTGTCAGGTTCCACTTTAGCAGAAAAGAAAAATAATCTAAAATTGAAAAATGAGTATTGATTAGCTTCTAGATCCACATTTCCTTGCAAACCATGCAACAACAGCAGGACTAGGAGAACAACAAGAAAGGGGAAAGAGGAAGACGGTAAGCAATCTGCCAAATATTCTAAGATTGTAATTCTCTTGCTCCTTTTTTGGATTTTGTCTGTCTGAATTTTCATATCTCTTTGTTGACTTAATACATATTTTGTCTGTAGATTGTTGTGGTAGAATCTGTTTTCGAGGACATGGGGAGGCTGTTTGTTGTGAATCTTGAAGGAAAGATCTATAGCTGCAAACACTGCAAAACCCATCTTGCTCTTTACGAAGATATTGTTTCAAAGGTTTGATTTTTATTTTTATTTAACTTTTGATTGATTCTTTTTATAGTGGTTGGTGATAATTTGGGGAATTGTCATCTGGGTATTATGAATTTGGTTGTTTTTCTTGATCTTTTTTCAGTAGTATCGGGTTAACTGTAGATTGTTATGTGTTGATGTTTTGGAGACTTCAATTAGATGATCATGAGGGAATTTGTTTGTTACAAATGAAGAATCAATTGAATGTTTTTCTGAAAAAGATGGGATTTTGGAGATTACTCATTGTAATTTCATAACATTTTTCATTGGGAGTATCGATGGGTAGATTTGACATTTGAAAGTGATATGGATTAAGCTATGACTTTTAATTGATGATAAATTGAGGAATAAAAGTTTATGACTTTATTCAAATTTGATATCATTTCTTTTCCTTGGTTTGATGAACAATGACCATTTATTGTGTTATTAGGGATCTTAGTTGGATATTTTGTAGCAGCTCTTCATAATTTTCATTATTTCTGATTGTATTTAATAAATATCAGAATCCGATGCAAACAAAATCTCTATTTTGTACAGTTGCAAAAGTTGTGTTTTCTGTTGTTGATTCCTGGGTCTTAGTCATACTTCGCATTATTTCTGATTGTTCTCATACATACTTAACATGTAAATCTTGAGTCTAGAGAATCTCCATTTGTACAATCTTTCATGGAAATTGTATTTTGTGGTTCATGATCGATAAGCTTGCTTGTAGTTCATTGATGTCTTCTGTTTATTTGTACTGCCTTTGGCTGCTTTTGCCCTTTGTGATGATCATATATTATGCATTGAGGGCATTTTAGGAGATGGCAAGACTATGATTGCTAAACCTTATTTCAGAAGAAATATCGTATATCAATATTGATGTTTTAAGTACTGTGTGAAATAAACGTGGAAAAATTATCTTTGCTAATGAAAACGCCTGACTGCACCTGTCTGTGTAAGCATAATTGCCATTGCATCATCTTCTTAAACTTGTTTTCTTACATTCATATCTTCACCATGCCTATATTGGTATGTTCTGTTGCATGTGTGAGTAAGTATTACATCACTCGTATGGGACCAAGCAAAGACACATGCAAAAGAAAAACCATAGCCCAATAGCTTGAGTTTTAGGTCAATTTTCCAAGGTGGACTGGTTTCCATCTGTATGCATGACCTTGCATGGCCCTGAGCATAAGTTAATCTCCTGAAGGTCTCCCTATCTGGTGTGCAACCAATGGTTATAGAGTTGCTGGGCAAGTGGAAATGTGAAGGTGTTGGAAGCTCGAATTTCTTATCTCAGCATCTCTCTGAGTGGTTTATGAACAATATACCTCATAGTTGAGCAAGGTGGTTTGATCTCATTGCTCAGCTTCCCTTATTTGCCAGTGAAGGCTCTAACAGTTGAAAATAATGGGCTCCTCATGATAATCTGATTTACACAAGGCACTTGGCTTAATAGAGGCTTTTGTTCGTTGGGAATCAGTTCCATGGATGGAACTTGCAAATTAAGTTTAAATTATCATTACAGCTCATGGAAGAATTATCCTCCGGGGGAGAGAGAGAGAGCCATAATCCAATGACTTTTGTTTCAAATGAGGTGTCCAACTTTTATATTGACCTCACTTGAGTCTTTGTACAAGGTCTACTGTAGTTTCCCCTCATGTGAATTTTTATATGTGGTTGCACCGTAAGGAGATAGACTTTACTTGGGATCACACTACTGCTACTCTAACTTTCTGTTAATGTTAATATGAGGCTTCGATGGTGGTAGAGTATATGTTTTCTTTTCCGATTACCTATGATGCCTCTCACATTTTTATACTGTCCAACAAATTTTATGTGGAGTTTTTGTAGGAAGCAAGTGTTCTGACTGTGTTTTGCCTGTGTTCTTTTATTCAGTCCTTCCACAGCAGGCATGGGAAAGCTTATCTCTTCAATAAGGTGTAAGTTTTCCTTTATTTTCGGCACTTCTTATAATTACTCTCTTCAATTCCATTTTTATGTAACTCAATGCTGATCCGAAACCCTTGGGCTTGCTTATACAAAGTCAAACATGCCAATAACTTATTTTGTGCCGGTACATTCTGAAAACAGTTTTTAGTGCATGTTTTGGTAGAATGTAATCGAAACGTATTGGAATATCACCAACAAAAATTCAATAGAACAATGATCTACGCATTCATTTCATCACATCCAGTACTCTTCATTGAGGCCTGCCAAACATGCCTTCAATTCATTCTTTTGAAGATGGTTTACGTCTCAGAAATTTACATGTGAACCATTTTTTGGGTCAGTCTTGAGCTTTGTTGGAAGTATGCAGTTATCATCTGCCTTGGCTCTGGACTGCAGCTTCTAATTTTGCAGGGTTAAGCTGCAACTCTGCATTAATTTGAAGTGGCTCTCCAATATATATATATATATATATATTGCAATATATATATATATATATATATTGGAGAACAATCAAATTAATATGGATAAAAGTTGTAAGAATTTGAGATCCTTGGTCAATATGCTAGTGATTTCGGTAGTCAAATTTTAAAATTTTTGCAATCCCCACATTTGTTGATGACAGTCCGTCTTGGACGTGCTTGATATTATGGTTTTCCCCTTGGTGGACATAATTCAAGTAGTGCTAGAAGGGGCATAACCTGCTGCACGAGAGGCATACAAAAAATGTAGCGATAAATAACAAAATAAAGAATATGCTCTTGTTAAAAGGTGGTTATTTCCTGTTTAATGATTCAAAGTAAGAAGATAATAGACATCAACCTCTTCAAGTGTTGATTTCTTTATGCTTTAAACGCCATCGCAATCCCAGTATTTCTGAACCGAACGAGAAATTATAATGACATGATGCTGTAAGCTGCAGGTAATGTACTTTAGTGGACTAAATGGTAAACTATGTTGGTTATGGGTTATGCAGACAGGTGGTTTATAACTGACAACAAGTTAAAAGGCATTGTATGTTCATACTTATGCTCTTTTAGCTTCAATCATCTTCCATTGTTTGGCAGAGTGAACGTTTCAATGGGAGTGAAAGAAGATAGAATGATGATGACTGGGATCCATACGGTTGTTGACATATTTTGTGTTGGATGCGGATCAATTGTTGGTTGGAAATATGTAAGATAAGGAGACAGATTTGATGGTTTATGAATGTTCCTTGTTTATCTTTAGTTATTTGATGATTTCTTTCAGGAGATTGCACATGAAAAGAGCCAGAAGTACAAAGAAGGAAAGTCTGTTCTTGAGCGGTCAGTAGATAACTAGATTGAAGTGATCTTGTAAATTAAGATCACATATTTTTTTATTGAAAAATAAAAAATAAGGCTATAAGGATTTTGTTGTTGAGCAGGTTTAAGGTGTCTGGTCCTGATGGAAGTAGTTATTGGATGAATCATGAAGTTCATATTGGTGGAAGCGATGCAGATGATGTTTGATTCGAACCCGCTTCATTTCCAATTGTACATCCTTTCTCCCCTAATGTTCTAATTTAACTCTTTGAACAAGGAAAACTGAATTCCTCATTTCGGTGGGTCACTGATCATGCTGTCAATAACCTGCTTCAAAACATTGGATTGTTGATTGTTTGTTTGTTGATTCTTATCTAGTCAATACTCAGTTTCAAAGGACATTTCATGTTAACATGATTCAAGTTTCAGTTGTTGTCTAGCAACTCTTGATTAATAATTGGTTAACCACCATATAGTAAAAATGTGAAATTGTTCTGATGGCTTTAGGTCAACTTGTATCATTAAAGCCTCACTCTACCACCATTTTCAACTAATGATGACATTTTTTTTTTTTTTTTCTGAAAATAAACTAAATAATGACTTTTAATAAAGTTTAAATGAGGGCTAAGAATTATATATCAGCATTATAAATTTATAGCCTAAAGACTCTCAAAGAAGTTGGAAGTGAAAAATGACGCTCGAAAGATCAGGTAATCTTTTAAACTATCCGAGTTGAGTTGATGCTGAGCTTGAGCTTGATTTCAGTCTCGAGCTTAACTCACCTATTGCCTTGTTATCCAATATGCTACTCTGTGTTGAGCTTAAGCTTGATTCACAAAAGTTATTCTCGAGCTTGTTTAGAGCTTCAAAAATCAAGCTCGAGCTTAGTTGATATACTAATCTGAATTTGAGCTCAAGCTCGAGCGTTGATATACTAACCTGAATTTGAGTCGATCCATTAGAATTATCGGGGTAATTCATGAGTGGCTTGGTTTATTTACGGTCCTCGATTTTATAGTTTTGGATCTGTGAAACTTTATCCTTCGAATTATAAAGTTGGAGTAGTTTATTTCAAACAAATATAATATTAGTCGCTCCATCAAATTTTTACAAGTTAACATGGAAAGAGTCAGCATAAGACTACCATTAGCAAAAGAATCAAGGCTACCCAGCGTCTTCAAGAACTATAATGCTTAGTGATTACCAATTCTTACTTGAAGATCAACCATAATCCATCATTAAAAAGACAATTAACACGACAATGAAACACAAATTCAAGAGGCCTGAAATAGAAAGTTGCCGGAGAGAAAAAAGAAAGAAAGAGAAACGAAAAAAGATTCAAAGAAAGATGCAACCAAGTTTACAAAAAATCAGTGAAGCCTCAACTATATAATCTATATGAAGGGGTTCAAATTCTAGCAGAAATGGCTAAGATTGTGTTTGGATATAATAAGAATGAACATTGATGTCAAAATATAAACATGGTTGTTACGTATGTTACTTTAAACATTACCTGTCATTATATGCACAAGGTTGGGTATGTATATATATATATATATAATATATGTATATATAATGGAAAGAATTCAACAAAGAGTCCGGAAAGTAAGCAGTTTCTATTATTTGCAGAATTCAATTTTATGAAGAGAGCATTTAATATCCTAACATGGAAGGGCAAAAAGCCCTTTAACTGAAAAGACCTCAAATGATCACAAATATCAAACTACTCATTCACCTTCATTTCATTTTGGGAACTGGAGAATACAACACATATGTACAAACTGCAGAAGTGGGAATGGTCATGACGTTCCAATATGACAACCAGACTCACTCAGCAGAAAACTCCAGCTTCCCGTGGCAGTATAAGCATCTCTGATGTGAGATAAACCCATAGAAAAATGGAATCACCCTAGCAAATAGACCATTCGCTCAGACAATTCTGCACCAACAACCCTCTTATATCTATGCAACTGAGAGTCCCAGAAACTTCTTTCACGGGGGCCAAAAGCTTGTTGTAGATCCTTGAAGAAAATTGTGACAAAGTGAGAAAATTCACATTTGCAGGAGTATATGAAAGTGAGCTAAAGTGCTAAGCAATAGAAAAGAAAAAAATTCTTAATTTTTTGCTAGATTTCTAAATTATCCTTCCACGTTCTAAGAACAAAGTATTTCCTAATGTATTACTATTAAATATTAATTTCTAATATCTCTATAACTGTGAAACCATTGGCTTATTTTATTTTAATTATTGTTGATTCAATTTATAAATTTCCTAATTAAATTTTGGGTTAATTACTGTTATTCTCTCTATTATAATGAAATATGCTAATCAAACCATGTGTTGTCAAAAACTAATTTAAAAGTCTTTCCATTTCAACTCCATCCATCATTACATCTATCTGTTAGATTTTCTATTAAATAGTCTTGAAATAGTGAAATGTCAATTTTTACCCATTAGTATAAATTACTATGCATTCCCTATATTTATAGCATGTGTAAGTTATGATCTTTGTTTTCAAAATCAATTTTAATGATCCTTATTTTATGAACTTTCAATTATATAGTCCTAAAAATACTTTGAAACTACAATTTATTAGAACATTCTCAAATGGGATAAAGAAATTAACCATTTTGAATTTTAATGGACTCATAATACTAAACGTATAAAGATTCAATAAGTTATCTTAGATAGTATTGAGAAAGCTATCATAATCCTATTATTGTGAGGCAAAATAACACATGTAACTTCCATGCTAGCTAGATACTGAAAACAAGTGAGGTGATGGTTGAAAAAATAGCAATATGTACCGTGTATATCTATTAGGATTACTGGTTTTACTGTGGAAGATGCAGATTTAACATCATTAAAATAAGGGCATACTGTTACAAAAGCATCTTATAATCCCAAAATCGGACAAAGATTTTTAACATAAGTGAGAGAAAAAGATTTTATGTACCTTATATCTCACACGGGATCCTTTTAACCCAATTAAAATATCACCAAGATCGCCATTTTCCAACATCTGACCACTGGATTCTGGACCTGATTCATCATCAGAACTTTCAGATTCAGGTTGAATCAGTTCATCTATTAGAAAATCATCTGAATCATCATCACCATTGTCATCATGCTGCACTTCAATGGAATTTTCAGAAGCTTGAAGTGGTAAAGAGTCTCCATCTTTTAGAAGTGCATAGTCTGATAAGACAACATATGGCTTTCTATCAAGCAAAGGCCTTGCAATATCAAAAGGAATCCACCTGAAGATAGAATATCAGTTCGTCAAACTTTGACTCACAAAAAGACTGACTAGTTTCATAATAGAACATAGATATTTAACAAATGGACCAAGAATAATGGAACTTCAGGATACGCGGAGAGTGTAATTGGCAAAATCAGAAAGTTTTTGTTTAATCCCTTTGCTTTCAAATCTTTGTCAGATTTGAATTATTTAAGACATATTCTCTAGCCCTCAAGCTGACCAGGCTTGACCAGGAGAGGGAGAGTTATGCATGCAAGACTTAACCCAAACTTTTTAACCTCCAAGTTTTAGTTTCTTTGCTGCAACTCTATCAGTTTCCAATGAGAAATAGACCTGCAAAACTCAGAAATGTTTGACCTAAATTTTATTTTATTGGCAGGTTATATACCACAAATTGATTAGAGAAAAATAAGTTTGGATGGAGAATTGGGTACTCTAGCTTATTATACATCTGAAGAATCACCATGTTATGACATCTTAGAACAGGACCCAAGCATGCTTGTTAAATAGAAAGCTAGCAGATGTCACAAGGAAATTAAGAGATAGCTATTAGCTAATGCCCTCAGGATCAATCTAAAACATGCACTCCTATAACTACAAAATCTACAAAGTCAATAGAAAGACTCATGCTCCAATGGTCATCTGCAAGATGCAGAAAAACTTACTGGAAACGGAGTGGACAAAGAAGCTCAGAAGGGCAATAAGCTGCTTTATATCTCATCTTGCTGCAGGAATGGATATAATACCCAAGATAATAATACTGAAGACTGGGGCAATGGACTTGATTCTCCTTCACCCAACCTATTTCTTGCAAGGCTGAATACTTGCCTAGTGATACAAAGGCAAAATCTGGATCCCAGAATAGATATTTACTAGACAAACATTTAGGAAGAATATCTATCACACCAACAGCAACTAGCTTGCCATCAATAACATATTGCTGATGAAAGGAGCCAAATCCACAAGGAGGAACTCTACCATCGCCAGATGGTGGGACAAAAATTAGGGGAGTATCAACCAGAAACCTCCTGTATGAGCTTTCAGAAACATGATCAGGCGTATCATTATGCACTTTCATCTGATATCTTCTATACAATTCAAATTCTTCCAGATCAAAACTGGATCTTTTCAAACGGATCTCTAGCTTCCGCCTTTTCCCCTGAGGATGTTTGACACTCTTCTTCATACAGCAGGCTTTTCTTTTACATCCTGCAGCAGATTCTTTGGAACCAGAAACAATTTGAGTACCTTCACTAGAAGAAGCTTGTGTTGTAGATTTATAATAATTGATGTGTCCATTGCAAGCCCTGATCGATAACCCACTAGTTTCTGGCAACTGATTTAAAGAAGCAGCCAACTTTTCTGCAATAATTTTAGGAGACAGAGTATCATCTCCTGAACCATGCCTTGCATCCTTTCCAGCTGATTGAGCACGCCGTACAGAAGCTACTATTTGAAATGCAATGTTGCTAGAATACATGAGCTCTTCTGCTCCTTCAACTAGCAGCTTTCTTTTGGCTTGTGAAACCTGTTTGACAGAAGCTTTTGGTAATTGTATATTGCAAGGGAACTCCCCACTTTCTGCCCATGTATGGATTGCATTGTCAACTTGATCTGACAAATAATTAGCAATGTTCTCTGCATTATTCATCTCCTCGTGTTTAACAGATGAAGTTTCCTTTGTTTCTGAGCTTGAAACTTCATGACAGGCACAGCTGCATGTACTTTTGGAACTATTCTGATCCTCTACATCTTCCACTGCTTTTTTCATATCCAGTGTGCCATCTAAAAGCCTAGGCATTTAGCATTATCAGTAATCAGTATGCAACTAAATTTTATCAAACAAAATCTTGTTGAATAAAATTTAATGAGGCTAGAAATTTTGTAGGCTATTGAAGAATAACTCGAGCATCTCCCAACAAAATAAATCTCCTATATTGGCAACTCTATGAAAGATAGTTGGAAATACACTCTTTACTCTTAGTGAGCATCTCTATGTTTGTATAGATTCAGCATTTCACATTTTGTTAAGATCATACAAAGGGCAAACCAACAATATCTTCTATCAAAGCCATGATGAGATAATTACTTTTACATATCATGTGAGAACTAACTGTAATCTAAAGAACTAAACTGGAATCAGTAATGAACTGAGATAAAGGTAACATACCTCTGCACTCTTCTAAAGACACGGAGTTGGTCCTTGGAAGGAACAAAATCACTAGCTTTCAAGCGAATAGTGTAAGAGGGGCAGCATGTCTTTTCCATCTCAGGTTTGTAGAGGAAACAACCTGATCTTCTCCATCCCCGATCAAGAAGATCTACCAAATGAGCATGGCATTGAAAAGGGGTTAATCAAATAAAACTATTCCATCAAATTTAACATAATACATAAACTGACAGCTATCATGTAAAGCTGCAGAGCAAAAGAAAGATAAAAACAAATCAGGAAAACCTGAAGAAACACCTAACATGTTCATAGGTGAAAAACAAATATAAAATTTTACAACATTATACTTAACCAGCTACAATTAGGGGGCGATAGAGGTTCTGCTCGATGAGTTAAAAAAAAAAGAGAGAGAGAGAGAGAGAGAAATGAAACAACATAGAAAATGCTGATAAAAAAAATACCTTGATAGTCATCAACTGTAACGCTGTGTGCCCACAAACCTACAAAACACATAACAGGAAAACAAAAATCATCAGTTTGACGTCTAGTTAATATGATCAGCTGATTGCAAATTGAAAACTTAATTGAAGGAACTGATCTAACTTAAAAGTTCACTTAGCATGAGCATTAGGCATGGATATACAAGTAATTTGGTTGCTAAATCAAACAAATAGCTATAAATATAGCTAATAAACAGAAAAAGAAGTCACGCTAATCCAAGTTTTAATTGTTAATTACTTATTCCTCACATAAAATCCCAAATTCACATCATTTCAATCAATATCTAACAATCTAAAAGCAATCTGAAATAAACGAAAGGAAACAAATTAAAACCAAAGAAGTTCAAGCAAACCAATAATAAATTAAGCAATCCACATTTTAAATTAACAGGAAGACTGAAAGAAAAACGCGAACCATGAGAAATACTGGTGCGACCATTGGATCTGCAATAACCGCAAGAGCTCCTACGACGGCCGCAATCAACCACCACGGTTTCTCCTCTACTATTGCTGCTACTGCTAGAGCTAGCTTCGCTTCTTCTCATCTTTCCAGCCATTTCTCTGCCTCTCTCTTTCTCCTCTATTTAGATTCTCCTTTTATCTACCAGCTCTTCATCGACATGTTTTCACGATCAATCGCATCAAAACGACACCGCTTCTATGTCCCCTGCCCATTGAGCAATTGACTAACATTTTTTTTTCCACTCCTGCGCGTTAAATTATTATGTAAAAAATAGAGAAATGGATAAAATAAGAGAACAGACTAACAGAGACGCATATAAAACGGAAAAACTTCTCTGATAGGAAAGTTTTGGGTATTTGCTTTGAAGTCCCTTCGGTTCTTCAATTCTTACTTTAGGGCCCTAGAGTAGTAGTACGATCGGCAAGTAAAACGACAACAGAGACGACATGGGAGAGGTCGTTTGAAGCGAGTGTTGTTGTATTTGGATTTGTCTGAACGACTAATAGTTTCCATGCACTGTTGAATTTGGATATCCTCGGGGACATGGAAGGTGCTCGTTTTTTTTTGTTCATTTTGAGACTGAACAGCACGGCGAACTAAACAATAGGAATAACATTCTAAATCGATGAAAATTGTAATGTATACTTCTCATTTTTCAAATATAAGAGAACACTTATAAGACTACTTCTAATTTAATTGACAAAGGGTACTTGATTTTGATTAGAGGAAATTAATCACCATTTATTTATTTAATGCGCCTACATTACTCAACAGAGAGATTATTACACAAGATTAATTAAATTTTATTGGATTTAACACCATTTATTTATAAATCTTGGTATTACTTTATTGTAAGAGTCACTTTTTCCAATGTTAAGAACCAATACAAGAGCTCAGTCGGCGCTATATAAACTTATATTTCTTCTCTCTAGTTTCTAATCCTAGTTATAAACTTATATTTCTTCTCTCTAGTTTCTAATCCTAGTTTTAGTTTGAGGCTGTCGTTTTTTATCAACGGTAGCCCCTACCGCCTATTTTCTACTATTTCTTCCCCTTCATCTTTTTTTTTTTTTTATTTTTTTGGCTTTTAATCTTCTTTTCTTTCAATAAACTTAGATTTGTTTTCCCTATAATAAATCTATTTTTTTTGTTTTGTTATGGTTGATTATCTCCATATTTGAAATTCTTTTTGTTCCTTTTTTATGAGGGTAGTCTTTATTATTAAATAAAATTATGATATATGATTTTATTTGGTTAGAGACTTTAAATCTTGATTTACAGGTGTGGATCTTCGATCGATAGAACCTGATAGTGCGGCTTATTTCTCCATTGATGTTATCGATGAATAGCGGTGAAAATTCATCTGTATTCGTCATATGTTGCAAATTGTTAAAAAACAATCCAGTTATAGAAAATCCAGAAGAGTTATTATTTTGACGTCCAAATCAATTAACGGACTAGTTGCTGCTATGAAGATTTATATATTTTGTCAAGATCAACTCTAAGCGGAAAGATCTAATAATTATATTTTTTAGTTTTAATTTTATTATTCAAAAGGAGATAGATTCATTTATTTCGTTAGAAGATCAGTGAACTCTATTAGCCAACAAAGTTCTATGTCTGATTTATATATTTATTTGTAATTCTTGATATTAGTATTAATGAATTTCATTTAAAAAAAAAATACAAGAGCTTAGTCACATTAATTAGGATCAAATTTGATTCATTTCTTAAATGTTAGCAAGCTGAGCCAATCCTATTATTACTCAGAAGATTAGCAAACACCCTCTCCATTCCCTTAAATTTATCAATTTTTCATGGATTTTTTTATTTGATTTAGATGTTACTTTTAAAAAAATTAAAATAGCATTAGGTATTTTTTTTCAACTTCACACTTTTAGGGAAATAAATTAAGGTACTATTTCTTATAGTTGATAATACAATCATTCTAATTCGTTATTAAAAGAGTTAATTACAAATTTGATGTTCAAACTTCTTAAAATTTTCTATTGTAGTGTCTGAATAGAAAACGTTTGCAAGTGTCTAAACCATAAAAAATGATAAATCAAGTGTCTTTTGTCCATGTGGACAACTGAATTTCCAAATAGGACGATTTAGATCCACTCACCCAATTAAAAGACGCTGACATGGCATCAACTTAAATGTAGAGGCTGACTGAGAATAGAAGCATAAACAAACGCCTTCTTCCTTAATCTCTCTTACCCCTTAAATCTAAAAGGCGATTGACCCTTTCTTGTTTATCCTCTCATCGTTTCTCTTAAATTTGATCAAATCACAATCACAGAAAAATCTATTTCCCAACTCGAAAAATCTATCAAATCTTACCTTAACGAAACTTTGAAAAAGTAATATAGGACTCATTAAAATCTAAAGAAATTCAAGGCAAAATGTATCTATCAAGACCCCAAAAAACAAGAGAAATAATAAATCTGCAAAAGCCCCAAAATCAATTGGAGACCAAGAAGAGAAAATAATCACCCATATTGAAAAATGGAAAGAGTATATAAAAGAGTAATAAGAATAAAGTTTATTAGAAACAACAGCTCATAATCCACCATGCAAATAAAAGAGCCAATAGAATATCCAGGAAGAATACAAAAAGTGAATAAAAGAGTAAAAAGAAGAGAGTTTGTTACAAATAAAAGCTCATAATCCATCATAAAAATAAAAGAGCCAACAAAATACTTTAAGAAACTTAAAATCTTGCCTAAGAAATGAGGACAGATTTTTGGAGTTAGCTCACCCTTGCGGGATCACGACCCAGGGCGAACGGACACTAAGATGGAAGAGGCCCGCTAATATGCCCAATGTCTCTGCTGTAATATGTTGAGAAGCTATTTCCCCCAGAACAAAAGGATCAAAACCTTCCACATGCGAGGTTGTGTTCTCTTCTAATCCCATCTCAGAAGCAAAATCAAAATAGAAAATCGAAGATTGTAAGTCCTATCAACACCAACCCATTGCAATTTGCTTAATAGTGCTGCCTTCCAAATTGCCATAGATTGTTGAGTAACCGCATCGTCCATGTAATGATTGCCTGTGGCATTTGAGGGGTGAGAAAGATTGAGGAAGAAAGAGGGAGAGAGAGAGATCAAGGAAGAAAGATGAAGAATACGTTGATTTGTGACTTTAAGGAAGTCACGTGATTTTCACATGCTTCTATTTCTTGTCACCTCTATAGCTGAGTTGACGTCGTGTCAACTTTTTTTTAATTGGATGAGTGGATCCAAATAATCCTATTTGGAAATTCGGTTGTCCACGTGGTCAGGAAACATGATTGATGAATTTTTTATGATTCAGACACTTGATTGCAAATGTTTTCCGTTCAGACACCAAAATGAAAAATTTTAAGAAGTTTAGACACCAAATTTACAATTAACTCTTATTAAAATAATGGGACCTATGGATTATGGTTCAGTTGGTAATGTAGGTTGGGTATGTGAGAAGAACTATCAGATTCAATCCCCACTAAACAAACCAACAAGGAAGGGCGATGAGCCTTAACTATGACTAAACTTAATCGGATTAGGCGGTCTCTAGTAATAGAGTTCGGATACCAGTAGTTTAAAAAAAAAAAAAGAAAAAAGAAAAAAAAGAGTAAATGGTAAATCACTCCGAGGCCCAAGTTTAAAGAATAGATAAGGCCCCAGTGATAATTGACAGTGAAGATCTTTTACTATCATGAGTGAATGATATATAAATTGACAGTGAAGATCTTTTACTATCATGAGTTGAATGATATATATATATATATAAATTATATATATATATTATATATATATATGCTTTATGTTAAAGTTAATCCTTGTTGATTTTTTTTTCAAAAATATATATTCTAATCTTTACAAATTCAATTGTTCTTTATATATATGCTTTTATGTTAAAGTAATCCTTGTGATTTTTTTTTTCAAAAATATACTATTTATCTTTTACAAATTCAATGTTTCTTTTATCAAATATTATTATGTAATATTAAAATTTTTTATATTTATGCATTTGTTTTAATGATAATACATATCTAATTTTTAATAATTTAAAGTTCTTAAAGTAGATAAAGTAGGACATTTAATTATGATGTTTATTACATTGATGAGAATTACAATTGTAAAATTGTTGTCCTTTGACACTCCAGTATATTTCTACAATGGCTGTATGTATAATTTGAATGGCCCAATCTATGAATCAGCACTTCTTATACTAAAAAAAATACACCTCTAATAAATGTTTCAATTTTTAAATTTATCGTCACTAAAAACTTTAATTTGTAAAATTACTCTATTGGATATTCTAATTTATAAAACTGCATAGATTAAATACTTATTTTTTGCTATTAATTATTTTTACTAAAAAATAACATGAAATTTATAATTATAAAAAATTTATTAAATGAATTAAAAATATTTTATATTAAATATGTAATTTTATATATTAGAGTGTTTAATATATATAATTTTAAATTTATATATAATTTCAGCAAATGTGAACTCTCCTATGTGATCAAAGAATTATTTACAAATCACCCATTCAAGAAGAACTTTCATATACTTGGTCAAGGTCAACTATTAAGACCTAAGTACTCCACATTTTCAAGTTTCAACTCCTAAACGTGGCCACTTGTATTGGCTCACGGATAATCTGCTTCCAGGCTCCATCACCGCTTCTCTTCAACCTTGCTCAACCCAACCGCCAACAAGTTATAACTCTCACGGAAATTTTACTTTGCATTTGCCTCAATCAGAGATTTAATTTTTTTTTTTTATTTTAAGAATTACCATCATTTTTATGTTTATATTTTTTTTACTAAATATTTATATAAATTAAATCAATTTTAATCAATCAATTTTAATGAACTTATCAAATTTTAAAAATGTTTTTGTTGGATTAAATCATTTAATTAAATTTATTTGTGAAACAAACATAAAACTTCACATGTTATCATTTTCATGGTGAAGGAACATCATTTGTCTTGTTATTCAGAATAGAAAAAGAAGAAAACTCATAAGTCAATTTCCAAATGATGAATGCAATAATTTATACAACATCTTAACAAGTTGGTGGCACTATCCTATTTTTAGAACAAGCAATGAAATAATATAATAGTCTAAGTGAACGCACCAGAATCATCAAATTGGCAAAACACATCAAATCAATGGTATAATCTAATATAAGCAATTTTGTTTTATAACCTAATCTAACACATTTATGAAAAAAAAAAAAAATTAAAGGTAAATACCTACTTAGTCCCTCAAATTTAATCATAATCATAATTCCGTCGTTCTTATTTGATAAATATACTAATTAGTTCTTAACTTTTAATCTCGTTAATTATTTATTATTTTTATACAAAAGTGAATTGTTGTCTTAAAATATCCTGTAATATTTAACAATTTAGCAATAATATTAAGCTTAGTCCAGATTTTAAATGTTGACTTGACTAAAAGATCGGGTGGATGGTTCATTGGTTTAATGGTCAATAGTTAAATCAGTATATCATATAAACATAAAAATATATATCAATTAAGTAATTCTAATTTGAATTAATTATAATAATAGTTATAATTGTCAATAAATCTGAACCATCTCATTGAATTAATGCAAATGACCGATTTGATCATTATTCATTCATTTTATTTTTTTTAATTGATTAAAAAATGGCTCAATTTTTTTAAATTAACTTATCAGACTGATTTAAGTTTAATAACTATACTATTTAGTTTTTCATATTTAATATAATAATATTATTTAATCCTTTGAATTTATTATTTTCATAGACACTTATTAGTAAAAAGATACTTTTTAAATTAATAAGATACTTTTTAAATTAATGAACTAAAAATAGTGAACAGAGTTTCATTTATCAACACTTTTTGAATTAAAAAAATTAAATAATTTGTCAGAGTTAAATGTTTTATAAATGTTTTTACAAATTAATTAATAAAATGCCAAATAAAAAGGATAAAGTTGTCATTATAATTAAAGATAACGAAATAGATAATTATTTATCCAAAAATTATTATCAAAAAGGAAATTTGAAATATAGGTGTCAATTACAATAATCGAAACTCGAGGACACTATTGCAAAACTTCAAAATTTAAAAACTAGAGGGTAATATCGTGATCATCAAATATTATCCATCCACACCTAAAACAAGAGTCGAAAGCCCGATAAAACGTAGGCTTTAAGTGAGAGAAAACAACCACCGGTGCCTCTCTCTCACCTGTTACAGTTGTCCTCTCTAACAAGAAAATCCCACCACCCCCCTTCATTTCTAACAAGAAACCTCTCACCTTGTTCACATTTTACCATTTCGTCCTTCTTTTCTCTTCTTAATTACTCTGAATGCCATTCCTTCGTTTACCTTTCTCTCTGTGCCCACTGTTAGTCTGTGATCTTCACCTCTCACCTTATTCTCTTTTCTCTCCCTCTCTCTTTAGCTTTCTACATTCTCTCTCTAGCAATTTTTCTTTCTAGAAAGGTCTATCTGTAGATTTCAGCTTCTCTTTGCGGGAATGGAGCTTTCTTCTCTGCTCGTTTTGGCTTTCTCTCTCTTCCGGTTTTTACTTTCTTCTAGCTGAGCTCTATCTTGTTTGGTTTCGGCCCTGTAAAGAGAAGCGGAAGTGAAATGCCGCCATTAGAGCTGGATTTTAGATCTAACGTTAACTAATTTTACTGTAAAAGAAGCTTGTAGGTTATAAATTAACGGTATTACGCGTTTCTGGTGGTTAAAGAAGTGAGCGGGAAGCTAAGTTAGGTTTTAGGTTTTGTTCGTTTTAGTGTTCGATCTGTGAATTTTTGGGACTATTTTATTGAAGAGAGAGAAGTTCAGATTTGTGGAAATGAATCGTAGTTTTAGGGCTCAGGACTCCCAAATGCAAATGGCAGCGGCAGCGGTGAAGCAGAGGCAACAATTGAGGGCGTCAATGATGAAGGAGAAGGAAGAAGAGCTCGCGTTGTTTCTGGAAATGAAGAAGCGTGAGAAGGAGCAAAATAATCTCCTCCTTAATAACTCTGAAGAGTTTGATGCACCTTTAGGTATATCTTTTGACGCTTTGTTTCTAAATTTAGATGCTTTGTTTCTAATTTTAGGTTTTTGTGGCTTGATCTATTGTGGCTCTTGATTGAGTAAACTGTGAAATTAATCATCTTTTTTTGTTGAGTTGGCTGCTTCTTTAGTTAATCTGGTTTAAATTTCTTGGTAAATATTTCTTGGTTTAAATTTTATTGGTAAAATTTAATTTCTTGGTAATTAAATTTCTTGAGTTGGCTGCTTCTTTTGGATGATAATATGTGTTTTTTATTTTGGTATTCTTTTAAAAATTGCAGGGTCGAAACCCGGTACTTCTCCTATATTTAATATTTCATCCACAGCAACACCTGCAAGAAAAGCCAGTGGTGCTGATGATTTTCTCAATTCTGACAATGATAAAAATGACTATGACTGGTAATTAGAAGACCTGTTTTTTTCCAAATTTTTTCTTTAAGAAGTTTTACTTGATTCATATGATTTCTCGGTATCTTTTTTTGGGGTCATGGTCATCGTGGGGTCAATCGGATTTCTACTAGAACAATGGAGCTGGACCTCTCACACTTTAGGAAAATAAACCTTTTATTTCTTTTTTAGCTGGTATTTCTTTAGCTTGTTTCTATCATGAAAGGAGAAATTGAAAATTGATGCTACAAGGATCTGTTTTCCATAGTACTGAAAGAGGGGAGAAAAGCAAAAGATTACGATGAGTGGTGATAACATGTGCTGTTGATGGTGGTGGATACTGAATGAGCCCCCTAGATGTGACTGATTAAAACTTTAGACTTACCTTGTCATGCAACTATCACAGTGCACCTAAGTTTTGGTTGAAATAGTACTCACAATGCACCTAAGTTTTGGTTGAAATAGTACTTTGTCCAACCTCACACAACTTGCTGATAGCACCCTCATAGGATTATCACTCTTGAATTTCTCTTGTAAGTTTAACTCTAAGTTGGAAAGGCTATTGTCTTAACATGCATTTTTTTAAACTTTGTTAAAATCTGTATCATGTGGTGTCTCATAGCTGATTGAATAAAATGCCTTATTCTACAATCATGAATTGCTGCTTTTTAAGATTTCTAGTGCATGTACTGAGAAATTTCTATTACCAATTTCTGAATTTCCTGACATCATGGAGATGACAATACTAATTATAGCAACCTTTTTTCTTATTACAATCATTCATACGAATGAGCTGTGTGACATGCCAAAGAGTTATCCCTGGAGAAGGGTTGGGCCTGGACTGTTTAATTTTATTGTCTTGTAGTTGGATAATGATGACAGTTTGTCCGTCCTTGGGCTTGATCTTATTGTCATTGTTGTAGGTAGAAGTAATCTTTAAACATTTGTATCGTGGCTGGTAACTTTTTTCATGTTTTATGCAACTTCTGAATAATCACTGGTAATCAATAGGCACAACATATATTTCCAACTGTATACTGAATTCCGGTCATTGTTTCAGATACCTTTAGCAACTTCAAGCTGATGACAATGCTAATTAATATACTATTTTCAGGCTTCTTACACCTCCTGGTACCCCATTGTTTCCTTCTTTGGAGATGGAATCACAAAAGACTGTTATGAGTCAGATTGGCACTCCAAAGGCCCGTCCCACTGCCCTGAAATCTAGAGTAAGTGCATAATCTATAATTTTAGCTGGACAGAACTCCTGCTTTAATTTTTGTTGTATTGTAATGCGTTAGTGTAATTGATTGTGTCAACAAAACTGTTTGTTCTGCTTGGTTACGGGGAAAATTTTTAACATCTTGTACTGCTTTCAAGTTTTATAAAAGGAAAGGTCATCTTAATGATAGAATTGCATATGGTCCATCGCTGCATGTTTAGCGTTTACAATTAAATGTATGTAACTGTGCACGATATTTGCAGAACCCATGAAGGTTCTTGTGTATATTCATCAATGATTTGTTTCCTTGGGTGAGTGATAGACTTGCAATCAAGTTTCTTACTCTATTTTTCAGTTCCATACAACTGGATGGCGCTGTGAACATCAATTTTTGGAAGAAATAAATAAACCCTTGCTGGCATGAAGTTGAGATTACTGAGAAGTCACGAGTCCAACTGCTGGATGTTTTCTTCTCTTAAACATTTGCTTAAACACCTTAGATAATCATTCAATAGTTGTTTCATAGCTAGACATGAATCGGGAAACTGTTCAAGGGTCCCACCAAAAACATAATTTGAGTGAAGAGTCATGGCTCTCATCTTATTATTCTGTTGTTCATGGACTGATGAACTTAATTTGTTCATTGTGGTTAGCTAGCAAACCCTCAGCCAGAACCTCCCACACGGGGAAGCTTGGTGTCTAAGCAATCAACTTCCTCCCCTGGGTTGAACTCTTCTGGTGCAGGAATTCGCAGGCCTTCATCATCAGGTGGTCCAGGATCACGACCTGCAACACCAACTGGACGTCCTACTTTGACCTCAACTTCTAAACCTTCTAGATCTTCAACACCTACTTCTCGGGCCACCTTGCTTTCATGTAAAGCAGTTTCTGCAACTAAGCCAAATGTCTCTGCTGCTAAGCCTGCTGCTTCTGCAACAAAGCCTACTACAGTTCCTACAAGATCTTCAACACCGTCAAGATCTACCGCAAGACCTTCAACACCAACTGCGAGGCCTTCTATACCTCCATCAAAGTCCACATCAAGGGCATCAACCCCAACTCGACGTCCATCCACTCCATCAAGTGCAACAACTATATCCGCTCCTCCTATTAAGTCGTCTGCTGCAGTTACTAAGACAGCTCCCACAACAGCTAGAAATCCAGTGCCATCACGTGGCACTTCTCCAACAGTGAAATCTAGGCCTTGGAAGCCTTCGGAGATGCCTGGTTTCTCACTCGATGCTCCACCAAATTTGAGAACATCATTACCTGATAGGCCACTTTCAGCCACTAGGGGTAGGCCTGGAGCACCCAGCTCTCGATCTTCCTCTGTTGAGCCTACTCCTAATGGGAGACCAAGACGGCAATCATGCTCCCCTGCAAGAGGACGAGCCCCCAATGGCTTTATGCACACCAGTGGGAGCTCTGTTCCTGCAATTAATCGTGCACGCGCTAAAGTTAATGACAATGTGAGCCCTGTTCTAATTGGAACCAAAATGGTCGAAAGAGTAATAAATATGCGAAAACTGGCTCCTCCTAAGCAAGATGATAAACTTTCTCCTCTTGGAAACCTTTCTGGGAAGTCTTCATCACCGGACAGCTCAGGCTTTGGAAGAACACTTTCAAAAAAATCTTTGGATATGGCTATAAGACACATGGTACGTATTTTACCCTTGGTAGAAATAATGCTCTAGGTAGGGTTTTTATATTCAATTATTTCAAACCTTGATGCCCTGGCAATAATTACGCAAGATGGTTATCTTCCATCTCCATTTCTTGATGCTAATTAGTTCCTCATCTTAAGTTGTAGAAAAGAAAGTTGCGACTTGTCCTCATTTTATGTACTTGTTATCTGACAGAAAGATCGAGTGAAGCAAACTCGGTATTGCATCTTTACATGTAGTGATTTGCTTATTTTATTGATTTTTTTTGAGCAGGATATAAGGCGAAGCATTCCTGGTAATTTACGGCCTTTAATGACTAATATTCCAGCATCTTCAATGTATAGCGTGAGATCAGGGTCTGCACGAAGTAGAACAGTTAGTGTGTCAGACTCCCCTCTGGCAACAAGCAGTAATGCTAGTTCAGAAGTGAGTGTCAACAACAATGGTCTTTGTTTGGATGGGATTGAATTAGAAGAAGTTGGCAGTGAGAGAGGTGGTCGGTCTCCTCTTCGGGGGAGGTGATAGTTGGAAATCAATATCTGTGATATCAACAGCTTATTCTAATCACTGTGTATTATTTTTGGTCTTCAACCAGCTCGAGAGCTGAAAGAGGAACCGATTTCCAGGAAAGAAAAGAGAACTGACTGAAGTCTTGCGTCTGTGATGTAAAGTTTGTTAGATTGCTTGGCTGATTTTTCTGTAATCCATGTTCTTTGTATTATTAGGGAAACCAATTATAAGTCCTACGATTGCTCTTGCTCGATTTCTACAAGGTGAATTATTATGCACCAAAAATGAGAAGTAAAAACCCTCCATTATCGCCGCGATAAGTTTATGTGTCTCGTATTCATTTTTTGATTCCATGATTTTTCTTCTTTTTAGAATTTGAGCTTTCTAGCCAAGAAAACACCAAAGCTGAGCCTAACAAGACAAAATAGAAAAAGATTTCACATTTGCAGATGTAGGGTTGAAGCTTTTCAACAAGTGTCACATGGGGTAACAGAAGACCACGTGATAACCCACACGAACGAGCTCAATGATATTTCGGTTTCGAAAACAGAATAATGCTTGATCATGATTATGCTTCTTATCCACTTTTACATATATTGACGTAACTACAAATTTTGAAACAATAATTAAGACCAGAAATTGCCTTTGGTAATTGGTTAATTGATGTGCTCTTAAAGCAGAAAAGCAGCAAATGAAAAGAAAGAACGGGAAAAAAAAAAAAATAACAACAAAAAGGAAGTTAAGTTGCACATGGGATGTGGGCAGGCAATAGCAAATATCTATTGGAAGGTAATAATAATTCATAATAATACCAATAAGAACACAAGGTAATCAATATGCAACGGAATATTTTCTAAGCTTGGACAGGACCACATAAATATTCATACAATCTAGACTATCGGTACTTGATCTGTTTACAGATAAAATTATCTAGTAACTGGACCACAAACATTGAACTGAAATTTGAACAGGTGACCGGACCACAAAGCCAGTAACCATGGATATAAAACCATCTAAATCATTAACAGCTCTCACAGAATCATCAGAAACCTAAATCAAAACAATAGGAAACATTAATGGATTCCTCAATCACTGCGGAATTTAACAACACGAACTCAAGCTCACTGAACTTTATGTTTAATATTAATTATAACGGCATACTTGTTTCAAGCTAGAAAGTTAACAAAGATAAGTTGGGTCATAAATCACATCTAAATGATTTCATTTTTTTTTTTTTTTTTTAGAAATAGGAAATACAAGAATGTAACCTTGCACGATCTAAATTAAGTTTTTCTGCCCTTGGTCTATGTCCAGTGGACAAGCTTGATGCTACACTACAGGGTAAAAGTGTATAAAGTTCTTATGTATCTTCTTCCAATACATGCAAATTAACAATAACGTCAATAAGCAAACAATCAAGCAACAGCTACAGCCTCAGTAGCAGTTACCACAGCAGCAGCCTTGACAGAAGGAGCAGCAGCAGCATCATCGCTGCCTTTAGCATCCTTAGCAGGAGCTGGTGCTGGTGGTGGAGAAGGCTTTAGGTGAGGGGGCGTATTGTGCTTCAGTTTTATAAGTATCTGTCGCAACCTTGAGAGATCAGTTGGTTTCCCTGGCTTTGGACCCTGGATCACAACAATGCCAGGCTTTTTTTCCTGATCCTTCTTTCCTCTCTTCTTCTCTATGGCTGGCACTTCATTAGGAATGAGCTCTGCAATAGCCTTCCAATAATTTTTATCAGCCTCAGCATGGAATTTTTCCTGGCTGGCCACAAATACCTGGCACAGAAGAAGACAAAGATCAGAAGAACATATGCGTCAGTCTCTATGTACTATAAGATGTACAAATAGAATTTCCTGTTTAAAATATATATTTTAGGAGGCCTTTCCTCACAAAAAAGCAATTTCAACCCTCAACCTTAAGCCAAAACAATATGATGGTATAACAAATCTAACCAGCTGTTGGAATAACATCCAGGCGGTCTAATCAACTTTCATAATTCATGCTTGAGCAAAAATCTGGGTTTTACCGTAAGTCTCAATCATTTCTGCCAGGTCTACATCACATGGTTTTGTGCAGCTGGCCTTCTAAATTCATAGGAACCATCGAATAGAAAAATTCAGCACAGGGAACTCACTTTCACAAAACAGTAGACCCATAACAGCCAAACAGATTAGGACATACCTAAAATTAAATGGATACAGTCGCTCTTGTCATAAATACAAACTTGGAAAATCCAGTAATTGCTCTTGTAATAAATCCAAACTTGGAAAATTCAGTAAGCTTAGGACCATTTTATGCGGAAGTTGAATAATTTATTTTATTATCAAATGTGGTGTCAAAAGCTTTTTGCTCAAACACACATCCTTTTCCCCTTTTAGATAATTGCTTAGAATGATTGCACATGCGAACATAACTTGCTAGTGGTGGATGTTGTTCTAAAATTGAAGGCAAAAACCAAAAATTACATAATTGAGATTTTCGAACCAGCCAATAGAGGACAGCAAGGTAGGACAGGAAGAAAAGATCTAATTATGTGATACTAGCTCTACTCACACAGCTTCATCTACAAACAGTTGGACATGCCTTAAATTAGTGATCATCCAAAGTTCCTATATTCAGTAGTTAGCATCTACTTTTGTAATGATCTATTCTTTCATAACATACCATTTAGCCTAATAAAAGTTCTGATATCTTAAACAGCATGATA